ACATGATTATTTATGTATTTATGTATTTATTGAATTTATATTGCTGCCTATTCGCCCATGGCGACTTGAGGCGGCTTACGGAATGTAAAAAACCCTATTTAAAATAAAAAATAAAAACTAACAAAAAGAATCAAATAAATTAATAAAGTACAATAGAACAAAATCTGGGAAAATGGGCCTCAAAAATTGGGTATGGCCTTGGTGGGTGTGGCTTGTCGGCCTCCGGCACCATGGTGAGTGGCCATTTTTGTCCTCCCCGGGCTCCGGAGGCGTCCCTCAAGCCTCCGACAGGGCAAATACGGCCTCCCCAGGCTCCGTAGGCCTTTCAGAGCATCAGGGAGGCCCGTTTTTTGGCCTCCCCAAGCCTCAGAGAGGCCCGTTTTTTGGCCTCCCCAAGCCTCAGAGAGGCCCTGGAGGGGGGGTTGGACTAGATGACCTATAAGGTCCCTTCCAACTCTGATTATCTGTTATTTGCCAGTTCACCGAACCGGCCATAAAACAACCATAAAATTAACTACCGTTCATCTGAACCGGTAGCAGCCCACTCCTGGAGTTTCCTGCCTGAGCAGGGGTTGGACTAGTAGACCTTCAAGGTCCCTTCGAACCCTGTTATTCTGTTAAAACTGGGCAGAGCTGGGATCCTCCAGATCACTTTCATTAAACAGTTTTTTTATCCCTTGGATAGCTGCAGCTCAGACAGAGCAGTGTAACTAAATATTGTGCATAAGGGCCAGGCAGCGAAGAGGAAATTTCAGCCTTTGTTTCAATTATTGATTGATTCATTCATCTATTATTGAAGTTATATCTCATCTTTCGCTTCATGCTCGCCTCGCCCACCCCACCCTCAAGAATGGCTTGCTGCAATTTTTGAAAAATGCGGAATATGAAAGATAACCTAAAAACAGCACAAGTGAAAGTCAAACCAAAAACTTAAAATTAGAAACCCAGATTGTTCTTCACGTCAGGCTGATTTTGTTTAGATCTTCTCCACTGATCCAGGCAAGATATCTTGACTGCATCAAATCAAGTATATACAATATACAATTTTTAAAAAAAAAATTTTAGAAGGGCTTTTTTTTATTTTTAAAGGAGGATTAAATTATTCCGGTAATCAGAGGGAATTGATGCAAAAACAGAAATATGCAAAGGCTCCTTGCAAAGAAATTAAGAATTTTTGCAGAGGGATGAAAAAAAAATATCCAAGAAGAGGTTTTAAAATATCAAATTTTATTAAAATAAAGATTTTTCTCTTCAGGTGCTATTCACGTAGCAGTTCCAAGTATTACTGCTTAAGTGAGAATTTACCAGAAACAGGCACATAGTCTGTGCTACTGAATAAGCTTGTAAACATTTACATGCTTAGCCATTTACTTAAGCATCTGTGAATATTTTAACAATACTATGCAAACTATTGAAAATCTATTTTGACTGTGTTTGGTTAACACTCTGTCAAGTTTTTGCAAGGCTGCTAAGAACAACAGATAAAGTTCCTAAACAATAAATCAAAGAGTCTCCAAACACAAACTAAGATAATCCTAATGTCCACAAGGCTTGAGTGCAAAAACTTCTTTGCTTCCTGCAAAGAACTGCAGTTTCTCAGCTGGCTTTTATCTCTTAAGGGAGGGGCCATTACTTTGCAGCCTTACTCCCGAGTCGCCCGTGCTGCTGCAGCTGCTCTTTCCTTCGAGCAGCCCTGCGCGCACACACACACTGGGCATGGGCTCCTTGGGGTCCTCTTCCTCACTGCTGCCGGCCTCCACAAACTCCGAAGGCCGCACTCCACTCCCTGATGGTCCTGGCCCCATCCCTGCATCACACGTAGGCCCCACGTCCAAGTCCTCGCTCTCCGAGACCTCAGCCGTCTGCCCCCGCTGCCGGCGCACCACAACAACACCCGAGAAGCTGTTTTTTAAAGTTTCCCAAATCATTTCGCATCTACAGAAACATATTGAAGTAATAAAAACAGGCACGCAACCATCACGCAAGGGTTAATAGCAGCTTTATCGGGACAAAATAACAAACCTAGGAACAAAATGAGGCTATTTAAATTCTTCCCTCATAACGCACTCGCTTGAAAACAGAGAAATAAAATCTCTGTGTGTGTTCCTTACCGTGAGCTATGGAAACAGAATATATTCCCCCTCACCCCTTTTCATCTCTCACTGACATATAAAAGGTAAAAGTTGAATATTGATCGGAGGTGCAGCTAGGCAGAAATTAGTCAGCAAGGTTTATTAATATCCCTTTCTCCGTTTTTTAGAAATTGAGGGAGTGGATTCCAGAAAGCACACTTGACATGAGGTTTTGCATCATGGCAGAATCCCAGATGTTGTTGAATCATGTCCGTTAATGGAAGGCGTCCGGTTAGATAAAAGACAGACAATCCTTTCTGCTTTTTGGCATGTTTTTCATATCTCCTGCTGAATAATGCTGCTTTATTTGGAGATGGGTACAGGAATTGGGCCTATCTAATTTAATGAATAAGGCATGCCATGGCTCAGCGGCTAAGACGCTGAGCTTGTCGATCAGAAAGGTCGGCGGTTTGCCGGTTCGAATCCCTAGCGCCACGTAACGGAGTGAGCTCCTGTGACTTGTCCCGGCTTCTTCCAACCTAGCAGTTCGAAAGCACGTAACAAAAATGCAAGTAGAAAAATAGGAACCATCTTTGGTGGGCAGGGAACCGCGTTCCGTGCGCCTTCAGCGTTTTAGTCCTTCCGGCCACATGATCATGGAGACGTCTTCGGAGCATGAGGGGAACCTTTACCTTTAGCTAACTTAATGAAAAGAAGGACTAGGGGTGACATAAGAGATGTCTTCCAATATCTGAGGGGCTGCCACAAAGAAGAGGGGAGGTCAAGTTATTTTCCAAAGCACCAGAAGACAAGACAAAAATGTGTGGAAACTAGCAAGGAGAGAAGCAACCTAGAACTAAGGAGAAATTTCTTGACAGTGAGAACAATTAGTCAGTGAAACAGCTGGCCACCAGAAGTTGTGCGTGCTCTATCATTGGAAGTTTTTAAGAAGAGATTAGACAATGATTTGCCCTGAAATGGTATATAGCTGTGATGGCAAACCTATGGCACACGTGCCAGAAGTGGCACGCAGAGCCATTTCTGCCGGCATGCAAACCGTCGCCCAGAACTGATCCACTGTGTGTCAGGTGGTGCTCCAGTCAAAATTCAAGAAAGAAATACTTATAGACTCCTTAGATTAGAGAAAAAATATCTTTTACTGAAAATGAAGTGGTAGCAACCGTAGAATTCTGAATCTGAGAAAATCAGGCGCGCAAACCACACGTACAAAGTGCTGGAAATGTTCCCACCCCCAATAGTTCGAAGGATTCTTCCAATTAAAAGTTGTGAATATGATCACGTGGACATCTTCAGGTGGGGATGAGGCCTCTGTCTGTTGACCTTGGCATATTTTGATAAAGGTTTGCAGCTGCGCAGAAAAAAGAAAGCTAAGCGAGAAAATAGAAACCTAAGCAAGAATTTATACTCCCCCCCTCCTCATTTTTACCACACTAGAATGTAACACCCGCAGCTCGCTTCCCAGACTTTACTCCCTCCTCCCCCCGTTACTTATGGCACCCTAAAGATGCAAAGCAATAGCAGAAGATCTTGAAGGCTGACACTGTGCATGCGCCCCACCAGCCAGTTGATTGTCAGGTATCTGCCAAGCACGTGCGGTGGGAGACGAGTGTGCATGTGCAGGGGGACGCGGGGGGTCTCGTGCGCATGCACAGAGGTGCGTGGTGCACTCGTGGGGGGTGCGTGCATGCACAGGGAGGTCGCACGCACATTGCATTATGGGTGCAGACCCGTGGACCCACTTTTGGCATGCGACGACAAAAAGGTTAACCATCACTGGTGTTGGGTATATGGATACACCAACCAGGTTTGGGTTGAATAAATATG